GCGTCAAAGAGATTTGTCCGGATGCGTCGCGTATTCTGCGGGAACGGTAGCGGGACGTCGAGAGCGCGCGTCTGTGCAAGTGCCGGGATAAGGGAAAGGTCTACTTCGGTGGGCAGCAAGTGGTGCGCTTGTGTCGTCATAAGGTTGGGTGGGGCTTGGGGAAGGGGTGGGAGTCGAGGACGCGGAGGCGTGCTGTGAGCAGCGGGAGAGGGAGGGGTGGGTTGTTTCTGGGGAGAGGGAGGGGTGGGTCGTTTCTCGGGAGAAGGAGGGGTGGGTTGTTTCTCGGGAGAGGGAGGGGTGGATTCGGACAGAAGAAGAGGAATGTTCTGGCAGTATACAGGTTGTTGACGTTTACGATGGCAAGGATCAAGGAGCTGGCATCGCGGCCGTACAATTCTTTCTGTGCCGATTGCGGAGAGCCGAACCCGAAGTGGGTGTAAGTGCACTTTTCTTCCTCTCCTCCCTTCCTTTTCCCCTCTACCTTCCCTGCCGTCCTACCGATCCCTCTCTCTACACCTCCGTCAGTCTCTCTCTCTTTTTCTCTTCCTCTCTCCCTTGTTCTCTCTCCCTTCCAAGGTTGCTCTCTGTCGCCGTCGAGGTGGTTACGACCGAAGGAGGGAGGAATGGTTGAATTTGAAGGGGTCCCCCAAACGTCCGCTCTACCTTCCCTTCCGCCCCACCGATCCCTCTCTACACCTGCGTCAGTCTCTCTCTTTTTCTCTTCCTCTCTCCCTTGTTTTCTCTCCCTTCCAAGGTTGCTCTCTGTCGCCGTGGAGGTGGTTATGACCGAAGGAGGGAGGAATGGTTGAATTTGAAGGGGTCCCCCAAACGGACTGACGCGCTCACTGATTGTAATTCCCAACGGTGGCATCGTCGTCGTCGTCGTACATCGTCGATGTGGTCTGCGTACTTGCCACTCATGTGTGTTGTCCTTTTGCCCCTCGACTCTCGTTTTCTGGTGAAGTTGTAGTCTTTCCTTGCTCTCTTCTGCAGCCGAAGTCATCTTTTTTTTTTTTAAATGTGAATTTCATCGCGGTACGAGATCGCAGAGATGACGGCGATCTGACCTGTCGCTTGGCGGGAGTGCAAGAAATTCCCTTCTCTCTACTGTATTCGCTTCTCTTGCTCCTTCTCCCTTTCTTTCTGTTTTGTCTCATCTGGACTGGTCTCCTTCTCGGTCCCTGCACTTTTTCCGATCGATCGTTTTACGTCGACGACGACCGGTCCAAAACGTATTGAAAGAGAAGGTCGCTCATTCGGCGCCGCGATTGCCATGGCGCGACAGCGATCGGCGACCGACAGGCGCGGGGAGTCGAAGATATCTTTTGACGTCCTGTTTTGGCCTCCTCCGATCTATAGTCGTTGCGCTATTATTCGTCTTCCTCTCCGTTCCCGCTCTGGTTTCCTGCCCTTACTTTTCCCCTCTTTTCCACAAAGCTCATTACCGTCCTCCCCCGAATAGTGCACGGCGGCTGTGTGTGTGTGTGTGTGTGTGTGTGTGTGAGAGAGAGAGAGAGAGAGAGAGAGAGAGAGAGAGAGAGAGAGAGAGAGAGAGAGAGAGAGAG